TTAGCACACCGCTTTACTTCCGAAGGTCATGGGTTTCATTCCTCGCACGGCTCAAACATTTGTATTCATGAGTTTGATTGTTTGTATATTTATTGGACTGGGTGTTTTCTATGTATATTTAGAAAAAAAAGTGTCTATATATTTGTAGCAGTAGTCAAGTACCCAAAACAGAAGCTCTGCTTAGCTTTTTTAGCTTTTTTGCTTAGGTTTATCTTGTAACATAATAAATATAGGCAAACAAATTAACAAATTAAAAATAGTTTAGGATTAGACGGGTGTGTATTGTTTAGGGTTCTTATTATTAAGTCTGGTATATAAACGTATATATTATAATTTAAATTATAATATATACTTTTATTCATATAAAAATGCGCATTAGCATATTATTACCTGTGCACCTAATGAACATATGATACATATGTTAACATATGTATATTATGTATCTAATGATTACTTAACACCCAATAACTTTGTCTATTTACTCAGTAGCTATAAACTACTAGTTTTAATTACGTATCTATTACACTCACCTTCAGTGAGCCTTGTCTTCAACTCATTATTTCGGTTTTGCCCAGTAAAATACACAAATCTTCATCCACTGATCCCTATCGGCCGTGATATCTGATCTTTAGTGAGATAATTTGGGAAATATACACGTTTATTATTTTAATTATAACGAACGAAAATAACCCGCGGTGTTACTAATAAAAAACTAGTACTCCCAAGGTTCAATAATTTCTACGGAAAAAGAACTTCGAATTACGTAACAGCTAAACTAATAAATAGTATGCCAACTAATCTTAAAACAGAATTAAATATAAAAAACATAAAATGGAAATTAAAACAATATTATACACCTACTTATTAAATTATAATATGAATAACTAATAATATACACTTTACATCTTTTTATGAATTGTGATATAAGTATTTGAAACATCCTATATACGAAGTGAGTAAATCCAGACGTACACGACCGGTACTGATACCTACCCTCAATTATTTTACCTCAACTGAACTTGTTCAAATATTATTCTAGATTGTATTGCTTGTTTACTAATCATAAAAGCATTTGTTGGCTGGTTTAAAAAGTAGTAAAGTAAGTTGTAATAAGATTTGTATACCTGTCATAAAACTAGCAGATAAGTAATTATTGTATTATATACGGCCCTCTGTGCGCACAAAGCATTCATGCTTTTTAGTACACAGTCATAATTTTGTCATTGTTATTTTTAAATTAAATAAATAAATAAATTTTTAATAAAACAGCCGTTGTGTTCCCACTCCCGTCACATTAGTATCTATTACAGTCTTATGCACTAGATACGACAGTACCCGAACCAATATTATACCTTATACCTAAATCAAATAGAAAGACAATGATGATACATAGAATAAATAATAATTATATAGAATCAATAATTTAATACTTAAAGATTAATTAACTTAAAGATATTTACGCTTGATATAAGCAAATTTTGAAAAGGCCACGTTTTCAATAACATCACATGTGTAACTAGCTACTCGCCCCGGCATCGCCCGGGTGTACATGTATTATATATATAAATATTCCTCTTGAATCACTCTACCTATTAAAAAAAAACGTCAAAATCCGTTGCGTAGTTTTAAAGATTTAAGCATATAAAACAAAGTCCGGGACGGACAGACAGCGACATCGACTTTGTTTTATACTATGTAATGATGTACACAAAATCATTTACAAATAAAATTATTATCATTATTATTATTAATGCAAATATAGGAAACTCAGAACAACGCGTCTCTATTTGCCTAACGAAAGTTTTAAAAACAATAATTGAATTGAAGAATTAATTCGCAAACTATAAATAAACATTGTTCCACTATTTTGCTACAATTAATTACATTGCTATCTGATGTTAGGAAAGTGCTTTCTAGAGACAATTGACTCCAAATAAATATGTAAGAAAATATTTCACGATAAATTCCGATCTCGTTTCGTTACGCAGTTTTCACTTTTGTCTACTGCAATTATCTACATCGTAAATTCATGTAATACGTACGTACATGTTAATCGTATGTACGTATGTTGTATCTCTACTAAGTGTTAGTATATAATGAAATTGTATAAAAAATTCAGTTCGTATGTTGTATGTCTACTAAATGTTAGTATGAAATAAAATTGTATAAAAAATTCAGTTCGGATACGATATATGACATACTTTCTGATCACTTACTAATCAATATATGTAATAGTAATAAAAAAAATGTCTAATGGTTTAGACTAAATAATTCCGACTGACTTATCAACGCACGAAAACACAGCGCAATCTCAGAAAAAGCATGTAGTTCTGAGTAATATCCAGATTAAATTTATTAATGTCAATATTTTAAATAAATAGTTCCCACTCTACTCTATTCCTATCACATATCCTCAACAGATGCAGAACATCTCAAATTTTTTTACAAACAGCACAAAATCGGGCGAAATTTCTTTTAATATTAAATATCATACCATACTTCCATATTGATGGATAGTGGCCGGATGGGTTTTTGAATAACAACTTCAGTTTACATATACCTATAATCATGAACTATTATTATGTGTAATAAATGATGATTGTTCTGAATGATAATCATGATTTTATTCAGTTCTTTTTGTTTTTCGCCAGTCAACATAAGCCTACTTAATTAAATATTAATAAAAGCTTCAACAATACAACAACAATGTAATGAACATTATTGTATTCGCAGTTTGTTTGCTCTTCCCTTTAAATAACAACCGAACAAAAGGCGGAAGAAAGAAAAGAATGTTTATAATATGATATCAACACTCGTATAATTATGCATTATCTGTATATTTCCTACTTTATAATTTTATTGAATAATAGCAGCGGCTTCATATGTATTCAGAATAATAATAGTTCTTAACTTCATCGGTAAGAAAAGAATACAAAATTTTAGAAGATACTTATACTACTATCACATTCGTTTCTGAGATTATCACGCATAAACGCATAGACAAAAATTCTAATATTCATACTTTTAGATTTAATGTGTTATTTTTTCTTAAAGTCCCACAAATAATGATTTTTCACACATATATTACATGTACAGACAGCGATCATATATTTTTTTATAAATAGATACCGATATCGTCATTAAATCGTTATAAATATGTTCCTATTATCAAATTATAATAATTCAATTTAAACTCATTACCAAAAACTACAAAAAAACTATGTTAATAATGTTATCATATTAACACACATTTTAATGAAATAAATATTATAGTTAACGAATTGACATACTTTTTTCTAGATTACTAAACCATGGACGGTAACTGTCTCATAAAAAATTCTATCAAATCCACCACAAGTGGTTATGTAAACTGGTGACATCAAGTCTACAACAGTTGGCGATATACAAGTTCTTACAAAATATTCACAAAGTACATTAGTGAAACCATGGAAAATTAAGCTCATGAATATACTTATAGTCTTCGTCTGCATCACACTTACTTGACATTTATCATTATATTTTGCCCAATTTATATTATATCAATTTTAATTATAGCCTATGTGTTATTATGATGTATAATTTATATTACTGTAAAATTTCATCAAAATCTGTTCAGTAGTTTTTGCGTAAAAGAGCAACAAAAATCCATCCATATTCACAAACTTTCGTGTTTATAATATTAGTAAGAGTAGGTATATATAATTTTCATATTGAAACATTTTTTAGTTTTTATGATACACAACTGTACTATCACTAATTTACTGATTCATTAGGGACTCTATTATTTCTATAAAAATATAAGCGAAGACGGTCTACTCTTTGGAAAAATATAAATAGAAAAAAATTATTTATACTCCCTACAAATGCAAATCGCGCCATTTTTTATACCATGATATGTGCAAACAAGGATATAGCCCATCTGATGATAAAACGTTACCGTACCTTATTACGCAACTACATTTTTAGCAGTTTATGATAGACAATGCTTGAAACTATATTTCAAGAATTGTCTATGATAAATTGAAATAAACTAACAAGCGTGGCAAATACACTGCATTTTTAGCAGTTTATGATAAATAATTCTCAAAATAGAGACGAAAAATAATAAATTTAAATAAATTAACAAGCGTGGCAAATGCAGTATTCATTCTGCATATTGAGTATAATTTAAGTTTCTTCCATAAGAAAAGCCCTGACACGATTTGTGTAAGACGATGTAATATTCGAAGATCAGTGACAGACAGTGGAAGAATTAACTAATAATGATTAGAGAATATATTACACTACATTCGAATATTTGAATTAAGAATCTCGATTTTTAAGCTGTTCGTAAACCATAGACAACGACAATTTGGGCAGTAGACGCTTATATATACGTAGAGTCATCGAAGAATGAGAAAATGTTCGTAGGAAACGGTGCAACCGTCGTAGAATAAAAAAAGCAACCACGTTTTATCAGAATAATATTTCAATACTTCTTGCTAGCAAAAATCTTGTTTTTTCTTTTCTACTGCTCATATCACGTGGTCATACATTCAACATTTAGCGGTAGCATATCAATACATATATATGCTATAGCATATTTAAAAATACTAGTGATCGGCGGATAATCCAAATACGACCACAAGTCATTTAAATATGTTTTTATTGCTATTAAGGTTATGTTGCCAAAGCCTAAATACATAATGTAATGATTTTTATAACTAACGTATTTTTAAGCATTATAATAAAAATATATTAGTTTTAGCACTCTTTGTTCATATAAACTTTAACTTAGGAAATTACATGTTCAATCTACGACACTTTCATAAAATACAAAGTTCTCGCTTCGTGCATTACTTCAATGTTTTTTAAGCATTTTATAAAAAATGTGTTATTTTTGAAGAAGAAGTGCATTCTTCTTCATATAGTCTTTGTCTATGGCAAATTTCATCCACGTTATTTTTGAGACATACAAAGTTCTTGCTTTATAATATTAAGATATAGTTTCCAGAACTTACCGTTTGCAGTACGATTTTCATTTTAACAGTTTTTATTCAGCACCAACACAGTTTTGAACGTTCTCACATAGTTTGCACTCACGACACAATTCGAACTTGCATGCACTTGTGGTGATGGGGTGGTCGCCACGCAGCCGTGGTGGAGTGAAGTTCAAGGCTAGTTTGAGCTAGGTTTATATAGGGGGTAGCGGAGCGTGGCGCGGTGCAGCTGTGTGTGTGTGCAATAGATGCAACTGCAGGAGTGGACGGTGCATGTATTGCACACTAGGAGAGTTGCACGTGCGCTTCTCAAACCGTTACAGACCGACTTCAAAAAGGAATGTCTTAGATTGAGTGTGTCATTTTGTTTGCATTATTCATCATAAATAATAATAATCTCAGGATATTTCACATAGTGTTTAGACTTAAGTTAAGCTAGCTAAAGCTTGTATTATGGGTACTGAATAATTGATACATATACATAGATATTTTTTTTTCGTAAATAAATACATACAATTTAAATATAAATTCAAACTCATATTATCTTCTTTCGCTTGATTTTGTCTTATTGACCTTTGATTGTCGCAATATCTCTTTCTCGTACTCTCTCTATCTCATTATACTTGCAAGTATAGTATTATCATCTTTTATGAATTTTATTTTCCTATATCAATATGCTGCTAAATGGACTCTAAATATACTATTTATAACTAATAAGTCTATATTATATAATAACATTTATGCTAAAGGTTCACAATGACATCAATCTATAAATATAAATAAAGTTGGAGTGTCTGTTTGTAATATTGAAATAACCGTATCTTACTACATGCATATATAAATACCGTATATACACCAAAATATTTTTTTTATAAATTTTGTCTATCTGTTTGTTTCGGCTAATCTCTGAAATGGCTGAACCGAGTTAGACTTGACTTTCGGCAGATAGCTGATGTAATAAGGAGTAACTTAGGCTACTTTTATTTTGGTAAAATAAAGTTAAATTCTATGCGGACGAAGTCGCGGGTACCGCTAGTTGTATAATAAGATTCACGCCAAAGGTTCATAATGACATCAATTTATAATAAAATATATACATAATAAGTTGTTATGTATCATCCAAAATATTCTAAAGTATTTATAATGTAGGACAGAATGTTGGAAAACTGTTAAGGCGTGACCAACATTATTAAACACTTTACTTTTACTATACATGCATTCCTTTGATATGTCGTCATATCCGGTAAGTGTAGATTAGACAACTATAGAAAAAAAGGATAAATGACTGTATTATGAGGTAAATTTGTGTAAAAATTGTAAAAAACGTTTATTTTACAATTTTCGATGATTATTTATAGGCTTTTAAAGGGCTTGTGACATGTGACTATTTAAGCTGATTGTTATGACAGTCACAATTGAGCAAGTTGATCACACGTGACCTCGACGAACTATAGTGTCTAAAAATATTATAGGAGACAAAAATAGAAGTTAGGAAATTATGTCAGTATCTTTTAATATAGCTAAATTAACAAACAAGTTGACGACCCACGTATCTTATTAGAAATTGTCAAACTCTGTCTACGTCATCTCTAAAGAAAAGAAATACAACAACAAAAAATAAAAATAGTCTATTTATTGCCAATACAGTTACAGATTTATGCAGAAGTGTTATGATTTTTTTTTTTTTTAAGATTTATATAATACGCATACTACACTATAACATGCACGTATTAACATATAAATATAAATACATATTTGAAAAGAATACGAGCTGAGTTTCTTGTCAGTTCTTCTCATCTCGAAGTCATTCCGAACTGCAATAGATTTGATATATCATAAGAGTAAACTGCTAGTTAATAATCTTTGATTGAGACTTTGTGAGGTATAGTCATAGATTCATGAAATCATTTCCAATGACATTATTAACTATTATTTAAAGACGTAAAGTTTTAGAAGCTATGTCCATCGAGCTGTGAGGGAACTGATAGCGAGATCAACATTTCCACACTCACACCCAACGTGTAATGGAGATATAATTGTATTGCATTAAAAATACTAGTAGTCGTCGTAATGGTCAAAATTTGGTCATAATTAATCTAAATTATAAGTCTGAACATTATTAAGGTTCTATTATCAAATACTGTAACTTCTATGCTTTATTCTGTGTGTGTCAAATAGATGGTAGTGTGTGTATTGTTTTTTTATTGATTTAATAACTTTTGCCCGCGGCTTCGCTTGCGTTAATTTATCCCCTTAGGGGCGGAATTTATCAAAATCCTTTCTTAGGGGATGCCTACGTCATAGTAGTGCTTTATGCATGCAGTCTTAGCCCGATCGGTTTCAAATTGACAAAGTTTCATACAAACTTTCCTCCCCTATTTTATCCCCTTGGGGGTAGAAATAATCAAAATCCTTTCTACGTCATAACATCTACCTGCATGCCAAATTTCAACCCGATCCGTCCAGTGGTTTAGGCTGTGCGTTGATAGATCACTATGTCTGTCACCTTTGAGTTATATATATTTTTATGCATAATTTAAAACCAACATTAGTTTTTTTGCTCTGTTCTTTCTCTATATAAAGTATAAGTGTGCGTTTAATACTCTTCCGTCCTTCTATAAGTCCTTCTGGGGATTTGTATTAGGCACACTGATATAAGAACAAATGATACCATTTCTTCTTACTTTCTTACTTATTTTAAATGTGATGGATTATACAATCCATCACATTAGAAATAAGTAATCATGTTGATATGTAACGTGCAATTGAATCAGAATGAGAATAAATTATATTTGCTGCTGTATATAGTCTACTGAATATCTCCATCAATTAGGAGTGCCATCTAGACTCGCCTCCTTGCGGTGAAGCTGTAAAGGGTACCTACGTTCAACAGCATTAGAATAGTTCGGAAAAAAATAAATAAAAAAATAGAGTCGTAATGGTATTAGTCACGAGCGTCACATGATAACTTTTATGTGGTAAATTTTGGTGGTCCATCAGATTGTTTGCTCTTCCAGTCACATAAAGAAATAGGTACTTCTTGCATCTTTGAGATGTTAATTCTTAGCTTGTTGGCAATAAAGAACGAAGACAGAAAGAAAAGAATTGTTTTATTCAAATATCCCGCATAAATAATTGCTCGGCCATTATTTCGTAGCTTTTGGTTTCTGTAATACAAGATGTATCTACCGCCTACGGAGAGAAACCATCATTGTTTAAGATACGGTATCGATGTCTTAGAGGCATTGCGTTATCTAATAAAATATTAGCAATAACTATTGTTATAGAATAACTAAGTTGTTTTCATATATATTTAATTATTATTATTGTTAAGTATGCTCTAAAATTTCACTGTTTTTTTATAATTCGAATACCCTGGACAATTCAAAGAGCGCCATCTATTCCCAAGCTCAGCAGAGCTTGTATTATACAATGTATGGGTACTATACAAGTTATACAACTGGTATAAATACTTACAGTATTTTTTTGTAAATACATTCTTAATATATATATAGAAAACACCTAGACTGATACAAATACCTCTTGAATTCAATTGTTTGCTGAATGCAAGGAATCAAACCCGTGGCTATAGGATGTAAAGCGGTGTGCTAAACCGCAAAACCACCGAGTCTGGCAATGTGTGAATGAAAATCCATATGAATATTTGTTAGTCATCTGAAATGGAATATACCTTGGACATTTTGAGATTAAATTATGTATTTAATGTTTTAAATAAATGACTATGGACTGCTCACACAGCGCCATCTAGTTTAAAACAAGACAGAGTTGCTGTGGCCACTGGATAACTGACAGACATTTTAAATATTATTTTTTAGAAAGACATATAATATGCATAGAAAAGACACCCCCAACCAACATTAGCGTACGTATATATTTTTTTTTATATTGTGCGCGGATCGAACCCGTAACTATAAAAAATTAGGTCTGGGTGCTAAATAGCTTCGCCATCGAGGTCATCCATAGAATGGAAATGTGGTCTTTATAATTCGCAAAATTATTTCTCTTTCAGAAATTTAATTTGATTATATTTGTTTACAAGATATACTGTCAGAGCAGTCATAGACGTGTTTGTTAGTTTTTTTGTACAATTTCCTAATGCCTTAATGTTACAGGAACATAGATCTGGCGTAGTTCTAATATAGGTACATCCCGTATTGATTGATTGCGTAACGTACCAGCGATGATTTCCTCTTCAATTTCTCACTTTACCTATTCGATACACACGGCTATCAAACAAAATATTGTGATACAAAATTTAACAAACTAAATAAATACATATATAATATGATATAATATTATGTTATCTGTGGTTTTACTATTATTTAAATTTCGAATGTTACACAAAACTATATGATATATAAAGTTATAGATTTACAACTTAAATAGGGCAATACTGTTTTACTATTATTTGAATTTCGACTTTGATGTTAACGAATTTGACTGTTATTGCTTTATTTATTTAAAAAAATATTAATTAGACAAATGAACATTACGATTCAAGAGCTTATGAGAGCAGTCCGCTCGATGAGAATGATATAATCGTAAACAAATATTTATACATTTTTTTTATATTTTCTTAACAAACTGTACAGAGAAAACACTCAGATCTACTCAAATAATCATACTCATGAAAACAAATGTTTGCAGCAAGCGGAATTAAATAAAATAATATAAATCAATTAAGTATCAAACAAATATTTCTATTTTTAATAAGTGTGCTACAAAGAAAGCAACACAGTGTTGTAAGAATAGATAATAAATAAGTTAAATCCGCTAAAAATATATACAATATGCCACACAAATTAATTCATTATACATTTTTTTATTAGTCGAAATTAAGCATGAAGCTTCCGGTATTCTAATTTTAGGGATCCCTATTAACATCGTTACTGTAATTATGTATCTATTTCACTATTATTTATATCTATTTCTCTTAAATAGCCTAAAATTAAAACACACAATTTCGTTTACTTCTTCAAAATTATAGCATTTTGTTAATATAGTTATGACAGATATAGCTAAATGTTTTACAGAAAACATACTAATATTATAACATATGCACAATTGATAAAATGTTTTTTTAAAATAGTAAGATCACAAAGAGAAGACTTATACTATACATATATTTCAA